TGTAAACCCAGCATTTCACATTCCTGATATGTGCATGCTGTACAATGTTCTTGTATGAAAAAGTATCTTGTTCTCTTTGTATTGCTTCCTTTGAAAATCCCTGGTGTTCCTGCCAGTCCCTCTGGGAGTGCAGTGTACTAATGTTTCTCTCCCCCAGCTCTTATGCAGAGGGAAAAGAGCAAAAAACTCTAATGTTTTTCTTATCTATACACAAATTATTTGCCTTTCAATTCCATTTTAAACTGAATGGGTTGTTTTACAAGGTGAGGGTTCTGATATACTTTAACAGCAAAAGTGGTCCATTGAGTCATTGCTTTTGCAACTTTTGATCCGAATATAGGTCTATGTTTTTCCCAAGCATGTATAAAGCTGAATTTCAGGTATGTAATTTTTTACATAGTTATATTGGTCCATCTTGGCTTTCCCTCCTTATGGAGGGTGTCAATGATGGTTTTCTGCACAACTGTCAGGTCAGCAGTCTTTCCCATGATTGTGATTCCTACTGAACCAGACTGAGAGACCATTTAAAGACTCAGGAACCCTTTGCAGGTGTTATGGCTTAATTAGCTGATTAGAGTGGGACACTTTGAGCAGAGAATATTGCACCTTTTCACAATATTCTAATTTTCTGAGATTGTGGATTTGGGGGTTTTCATGAGCTGTAAGCCATAATCATCACAATAATGACAAATCACGGCTTGAACTATCTTGCTTTGCATGTAATGAGTCTATCTCATATATTAGTTTCACCTTTTAAGTTGCATTACTGAAATAAATGAACTTTTGCATGATATTCTAATTTTCACCTGTATATATATATATATATATATATATATATATATATATATATACAGTCAGGTCCATAAATATTGGGACATCGACACAATTCTAACATTTTTTGGCTCTATACACCACCACAATGGATTTGAAATGAAACAAACAAGATGTGCTTTAACTGCAGACTGTCAGCTTTAATTTGAGGGTATTTACATCCAAATCAGGTGAACGGTGTAGGAATTACAACAGTTTGCATATGTGCCTCCCACTTGTTAAGGGACCAAAAGTAATGGGACAGAATAATAATCATAAATCAAACTTTCACTCTTTAATACTTGGTTGCAAATCCTTTGCAGTAAATTACAGCCTGAAGTCTGGAATGCATAGACATGACCAGACGCTGGGTTTCATCCCTGGTGATGCTCTGCCAGGCCTCTACTGCAACTGTCTTCAGTTCCTGCTTGTTCTTGGGGCATTTTCCCTTCAGTTTTGTCTTCAGCAAGTGAAATGCATGCTCAATCGGATTCAGGTCAGGTGATTGACTTGGCCATTGCATAACATTCCACTTATTTCCCTTAAAAAACTCTTTGGTTGCTTTTGCAGTATGCTTTGGGTCATTGTCCATCTGCACTGTGAAGTGGCATCCAATGAGTTGTGAAGCATTTGGCTGAATATGAGCAGATAATATTGCCTGAAACACTTCAGAATTCATCCTGCTGCTTTTGTCAGCAGTCACATCATCAATAAATACAAGAGGACCAGTTCCATTGGCAGCCATACATGCCCACGCCATGACACTACCACCACCATGCTTCACTGATGAGGTGGTATGCTTAGGATCATGAGCAGTTTCCTTTCCTTCTCCATACTCTTCTCTTCCCATCACTTTGGTACAAGTTGATCTTGGTCTCATCTGTCCATAGGATGTTGTTCCAGAACTGTGAAGGCTTTTTTACATGTCGTTTGGCAAACTCTAATCTGGCCTTCCTGTTTTTGAGGCTCACCAATGGTTTCCATCTTGTGGTGAACCCTCTGTATTCACTCTGGTGAAGTCTTCTCTTGATTGTTGACTTTGACACACATACACCTACCTCCTGGAGAGTGTTCTTGATCTGGCCAAATGTTGTGAAGGGTGTTTTCTTCACCAGGGAAAGAATTCTTCGGTCATCCACCACAGTTGTTTTCCGTGGTCTTCTGGGTCTTTTGGTGTTGCTGAGCTCAACGGTGCGTTCCTTCTTTTTAAGAATGTTCCAAACAGTTGTTTTGGCCTCACCTAATGTTTTTGCTATCTCTCTGATGGGTTTGTTTTGTTTTTTCAGCCTAATGATGGCTTGCTTCACTGATAGTGACAGCTCTTTGGATCTCATCTTGAGAGTTGACAGCAACAGATTCCAAATGCAAATAGAACACTTGAAATGAACTCTGGACCTTTTATCTGCTCATTGTAATTGGGATAATGAGCGAATAACACACACCTGGCCATGGAACAGCTTAGAAGCCAATTGTCCCATTACTTTTGGTCCCTTAACAAGTGGGAGGCACATATGCAAACTGTTGTAATTCCTACACCGTTCACCTGATTTGGATGTAAATACCCTCATATTAAAGATGACAGTCTGCAGTTAAAGCACATCTTGTTTGTTTCATTTCAAATCCATTGTGGTGGTGTATAGAGCCAAAAATGTTAGAATTGTGTCGATGTCCCAATATTTATGGACCTGACTGTATACACACACACATATATACACAGTATCTCCCAGAAGTGAGTACCCCCCTCACATTTTTGTAAATATTTTTTTGTATCTTTTCATGTGACAACACTAAAGAAATGACACTTTGCTACAATGTGACGTAGTGAGTGTACAGCTTGTATAACAGTGTAAATTTGCTGTCTCCTCAAAATAACTCAACACACAGCCATTAATGTCTAAAACGCTGGCAAAAAAAGTTGGTACACCCCTAAGTGAAAATGTCCAAATTGGGCCCAATTAGCCATTTTCCCTCCCTGGTGTCATGTGACTTGTTAGTGTTTCAAGGTCTCAGGTGTGAATGGGGAGCAGGTGTGTTACATTAAAGAAAAACAGACCTGGTCTGTTGCTCAGTGGTCAAAAGTCCTCTTTTCTGATCAAAGCAACTTTTGCTTCTCATTTGGAAACAAAGGACCCAGAATATGGAGGAAGAATGGAGAAGCACACACTGCAAGATTCTTGAAGTCCAGTGTGAAGTTTCCACAGTCTGTGTTGATTTGGGGAGCCATGTCATCTGCTGGTGTTGGTCCACTGTGCTTCATTTAGTCCAGGTCAACGCAGCCGTCTACTAGGAGATTTTGGAGCACTTCATGCTTCCTTCCGCAGATGTTATGGGGATGCTGACTTCATTTTCCAGCAGGACTTGGCACCTGTCAGGAATGGACTAGCCAGCAATGGTGGGACTCACCTGCCTTTTGATCTGCAGTACCAGGGCTGGCCAGCGGGTGCTCCCAGCAATCAGAGACCCAACTTTGCAGCCAGCTAACACCTGGAACTGATTATGCTGGGGTATTTAAGGGATGGCCAGACTTGCAGACTCTGCCTTGGTGTTGTGTTTCTCTTGGGCCCTGTATCCTGTTCCTGCTCTCTGTTCCTGTCTGATTCTCTGCTACCTGTTCTGATCCCTGGCTTGTGACCCTGACCATCCCTCTGCCTGACCCTCTGTACCACGCTGCTAGCTACCTGCTGAACCTGGCCTGTGACCCCGACCAATCTCCGCTTGCTCCCCCTGTACCTACCTGCCCAATTGATATCGACCCGGCCTGCCTGACGACGCTTGCTTGTATGTACTGTTATCTGTGGGTGGTTGGTTTGGTTTGTTTGCACTGTATTATGTGTTTAGTATTGCACTGCGTTTATGTTTGTATTGTTAGTGTTAATAAAATTATATTGTTTATCACATATCTGAAGTCTGCTTTTCCCTGCGTCAGTCACACACCTCTGGTCACACCTGGGAGCCCTGACATTACACCAAGGCCAATCCTGACCAGAAGTGGCTGCACAGGGAAGCCATCTTGGCTTGTTGCTGGGAAGGATGGATCTTGATGAGGTTGTGTATTTATATCTGCTAGTGTTTGATGACAGGGAGTATGCTTATCAAACTCTGAAGGAGTATCCCAGGGATCAACTACTAGAATGTATACGGCTCGCTCATGTTCTAGTAGATCAGGGCACAGAGTTCTCTGAGGTGCAGCCTTTGATTGAGGTTTGTGCTGAGTTGGTTTCATCTGGTTCCCCCGAATGCAGGGATGAATTTTTGCCACCATTTAGTGCAGACCAGGTAGAGTCCCTGGTGTGGTTATTAGAGGATGATGTGGGTTACTTTCTGGAGCGTTATTCCACATGTTCACCACAGACACTAAGAGATTGTATAAACGCAGTGCAGTCATTGACCAGACAGGCTTTGTGTAAGCTCAGCTTTGTTCAACCCATACTGCAGACATGGACAGACTTGTTGCACCCAGCCTCAGTCAGCTTACAAAAACCCAGTCCTGCTTCTAACTCTACTCCTGTATTCCCACCAGCTCCTCCAGTTACAGCCCAGTATACTTGGCTATCTACCGCATGTCAGTACCCTGTTCCCCCACTCGCTGCACCTATCCTGCCTTTAACCCTGTAAAAAAGCCCTCTGTAGCAACTGCTCCCTCTCCTGTTCCATCCTCCAGTTTTTCTCTGTCTCCAGCTGCTCCATTCGTTTGCAGACCTGCGTTTACTTGCAGTGCTCCAGTAGTTAAAACCAGAAAAAAGCGAAAATTCTTTCCAACCAATACCATCCTGCCAGTATCCAAACCGGTGAACCTGCCTTCCGTGACTCAGCCTGAAGCCTCTACTCGGCCTGAAGCCTCTACTCAGCCTGAAGCCTCTAGCCTCTCAGCCTGAAGCCTCTCTTCAGCCTGATGCCTCTCTTCAGCCTGATGCCTCTCTTCAGCCTGATGCCTCTCTTCAGCCTGATGCCTCTTCAGCCTGATGCCTCTACTCAGCCTGATGCCTCTCTCTCAGCCTGAAGCCTCTACTCAGCCTGAAGCCTCAGCCTGAAGCCTCTACTCAGCCTGAAGCCTCTACTCAGCCTGAAGCCTCTACTCAGCCTGAAGCCTCTACTCAGCCTGAAGCCTGCCTGAGCCTGCCTGATGCCTGCATTCAGCCTGATGCCGCTACTCAGCATGATGAACTGATCCAGCCCGACGATCCTATTAGGCCAGTTGACTCGATGCCCGCTGTTGATCCAGATGATCCGGTACCTGATCCAGTGCCCGCTGTCGTGCCAATTGACTCAGAGCCCGCTGTCATACCTGGTGACCCGGTGCCCACTGCCTTGCCAGATGACGCGGTGCCCGCTGGCAAGCCAAATGACCTGATGCCTGGTGACCCAGTGCCCGCTGTCATACCTGGTGACCCGATGCCCGCTGTCGAGCCAGACAATCCGATACCTGATGACCCGGTGCCCACTGTCGTGCCTGTTGACTCGGAGCCCACTGTCTTGCCAGACGACTCGGTGCCCGCAGTCTTGCCGACTCGTGCCCGCTGTTGCCAGTTGACTCGATGCCCGCTGTTCCGCCAGTCGATTCCCGACTCCGCCAGTTGACTCGGTGCCCGCAGTCTTGCCAGACGACTCGGTGCCCGCAGTCTTGCCAGACGACTCGGTGCCCGCAGTCAGTTGACTCGATGCCCGCTGTTTGCCAGTTGACTCGATGACTCGGTGCCCGCAGTCTTGCCAGACGACTCGGTGCCCGCAGTCTTGCCAGACGACTCGGTGCCCGCAGTTTTGCCAGACGACTCGTTTTGCCCGCTCGGTGCCCGCCTTGCCAGACTCGGTGCCCGCAGTCTGCCAGACGACTCGGTGCCCGACTCGTGCCCGCAGTCCGCCAGTTGACTCGATGCCCGCTGTTCCGCCAGTTGCCATGCCCGCTGTTCCGCCAGTTGACTCGGTGCCCGCAGTCTTGCCAGACGACTCGGTGCCCGCAGTCTTGCCAGACGACTCGGTGCCCGCAGTCTTGCCAGTTGACTCGATGCCCGCTGTTCCGCCAGTTGACTCGATGCCGCGTCTTGCCAGACGACTCGGTGCCCGCAGTCTTGCCAGACGACTCGGTGCCCGCAGTCTTGCCAGACGACTCGGTGCCCGCAGTCTTGCCAGACGACTCGGTGCCCGCAGTCTTGCCAGACGACTCGGTGCCCGCAGTCTTGCCAGACGACTCGGTGCCCGCTGTCTTGCCAGTTGACTCGATGCCCGCTGTTCCGCCAGTTGACTCGATGCCCGCTGTTCCGCCAGACTGTGCCCGCCAGTTGACCCGCTGTTCCGCCAGTTGACTCGATGCCCGCTGTCTCCGCCAGTTGACTCGGTGCCCGCCCGCCAGTCTTGCCGCTCGACTCGGTGCCCGCAGTCTTGCCAGACGACCTCGGTGCCCACTGTCGTGCCTGGTGACTCGGTGCCCGCCGCTTCGTCTGGGGCCCGAGACCCTGTCGCTCCTGGGGCCTGGGGGTCCGGCCGCCCGCCGCTCCGCCTGAGGGCCCAAGACCTGTCGCTCCACCTGGGGGTCCGGCGCCCGCCGCTCCGCCTGGGGGCCCGAGACCTGTCGCTCCATCTGGGGGGTCCGGCGCCCGCCGCTCCGCCTGAGGGCCCGAGACCTGTCGCTCCGCCTGGGGGCCCGAGACCTGTCACTCCATCCTGGGGGCCCGCCGCTCCCTGGCCCCCCGCCGCCCGCCTGGGGGCCCGAGCCTGTCGCCCCCCCTGGGGGCCCGGTGCCTGTCGCCCCGCCTGGGGGCCCGACGCCTGTCGCCCCGCCTGGGGGCCCGACGCCTGTCGCCCCGCCCGGGGGCCCGACGCCTGTCGCCCCGCCGGGGGGCCCGACGCCTGCTCGCCCCGTCCGGGGGGGGCCTGCTGCCTGCTGCCGGAGCCCGCCTAGTAATCCGATGTGCCTCTGCCCGGAGTCGAGCCCGATGTGCCTCTGCCCGGAGTCGAGCCCGATGTGCCTCTGCCCGGAGTCGAGCCCGATGTGCCTCTGCCCGGAGTCGAGCCCGATGTGCCTCTGCCCGGAGTCCGAGCCCGATGTGCCTCTGCCCGGAGTCCGAGCCCGATGTGCCTCTGCCCGGAGTCGAGCCCGATGTGCCTCTGCCCGGAGTCCTGCCCGATGTGCCTCTGCCCGGTGTGCCTTTGCCCAATGTGCCCCTGCCCGGTGTGCCCCTGCCCGGTGTGCCGCTGCCCTGCTGCCCGGAGTGCCGCTGCCCGGAGTCCTGCCCGGTGTGCCAGTCTTTGATATCCCGCCAGTTACCAGACCCGGGCGGTGGAACATTTTGCCCAGCTAGGACTGTTTGGAGCGTCCTGAGGCCGCTCCTTGAGGGGGGGGGTACTGTCAGGAATGGACTAGCCAGCAATGGTGGGACTCACCTGCCTTTTGATCTGCAGTACCAGGGCTGGCCAGCGGGTGCTCCCAGCAATCAGAGACCCAACTTTGCAGCCAGCTAACACCTGGAACTGATTATGCTGGGGTATTTAAGGGATGGCCAGACTTGCAGACTCTGCCTTGGTGTTGTGTTTCTCTTGGGCCCTGTATCCTGTTCCTGCTCTCTGTTCCTGTCTGATTCTCTGCTACCTGTTCTGATCCCTGGCTTGTCTGACCATCCCTCTGCCTGACCCTCTGTACTACGCTGCCTGCTACCTGTTCTGATCCCTGGCTTGTGACCCTGACCATCCCTCTGCCTGACCCTCTGTACCACGTTGCTAGCTACCTGCTGAACCTGGCCTGTGACCCCGACCAATCTCCGCTTGCTCCCCCTGTACCTACCTGCCCAATTGATATCGACCCGGCCTGCCTGACGACGCTTGCTTGTATGTACTGTTATCTGTGGGTGGTTGGTTTGGTTTGTTTGCACTGTATTATGTTTAGTATTGCACTGCGTTTATGTTTGTATTGTTAGTGTTAATAAATTATATTGTTTATCACATATCTGAAGTCTGCATTTCCCTGCGTCAGTCACACACCTCTGGTCACACCTGGGAGCCCTGACAGCATTGCCAAGAGAACGATGAGAGACAAGAGACCGAACAATGCAGAAGAGCTTAAGGCCGCTATTGAAGCATCCTGGTCTTCCATAACACCTCAGCAGTGCCGCAGGCTGATAGCTTCCATTCCAAGCCCATTGGGGCAGTAATTGCTGCAAAAGGGGCCCAAACCAAGTACTGAGTACATATGCATGCTTATACTTTTCAGAGGTCCGATATTGTTCTATGTACAATCCTTGTTTTATTGATTGCATGTAATATTCTAATTTTCTGAGATTGTGGATTTGGGGTTTTCATGAGCTGTAAGCCATAATCATCACAATTATGACAAATCACGGCTTGAATTATCTTGCTTTGTATGTAATGAGTCTATTTCATATATTAGTTTCATCTTTTAAGTTGCATTACTGAAATAAATGAACTTTTGCGCGATATTCTAAATTTTTTGAGTTTCACCTGTATATTGCATGAAGTGTCCATGTTATATCAGAATACAAAGATCATCATCAGCTTTTCAATATGTATTGGTGTATCAAACATTTATTTCCACCTTCGTGCTCCACCAAACTTCTCTGTGAACTACCACCACCCAGTGTACTTGCACCTTAATAATATGACCTCCCACAAAGTGTTCATTCACAAAGCGCTTGTGTCCCTTTTAAATGGACTATGATCTCCTCTCCACAATCAGCCACAACATTCATGATGGAGCCCTCCTTCTCCTGCTGCCTCCGCTCCACACCATGTAAACAAAATACTGAAGTGCTTTATCCTTAAAAGCTTTATTATCTCCCACAAACAGATAAAATGCTGCTCACATGATAAAGGTATATATATATATATATATATATATCCTTAAAATAGATACGGTAACCTTGTGCAATAACGCTATATCAGCATCCAACACTTGCCGCATTGAGTATGAACGTTGGGAAGTCATCCAGACCCTGCCCCAACGCGTTTTGTCACAGGGCACGTGATCTCTTCCGGGGAATTGATTCAATTGTTTACAATTGTTTTTGGTTAGTATGAGAATCATTTACAGTGTTTGGCTGCTGGTAGATCTTTTCACTTTTTTGTTTTGTTTAATATTTATAGTATATTATAAGTATATAGCATAGTATTTTTGTGGAGAACACTACAGACGGGTTGATTTACTAAAGATAAATATACTGTGCACTGCAAGTGCAGTTGCTTAAGATCTGAAGGGAAGCTCTCAATTAAGGTGAAGCTCTACTAATTTCTTTCATCCAATCATGTGCAAGACAAAAATGCTGTTTTTTAAATTTTTCCTTGCATGTTCCCCTTATTCCCCAACTTATTGGTCTTTAGTAAATCAACCCCATAGTGTTGGAATCACATTTGTATTATTTATTGTTTGAATCTGGTGCGTTATTGGGCACTTATATTTTTGTATATTTTTTCTATACATAGCAGCTCACAAGGGATATAGTGACAGGACCCCAAAATCTTTTTCCCATTCTGTATTGCCCCAAGGGTTCTTCCCCTAACAAATAACTTGTGTTCATATTTTTAGCCTATAAACATTATTTGCCATGTAGTTGCCCACCCCTTTATTTTACTGAGGTCTTCTTGTAAAGTTTCCATATCCTGCTGTGAAGTTGTTGCCCTGCTTAGCTTTGTATTGCCAGCAAACACTGAGATTGAACTTTTTATGCCAACCAATATGTTGTTTATGAATTAATTAAACAGAATTGGTCCCAAGACAGAGCCATTGGGTACCCCATTTACCACTCCAGATCAACCTGAGTACTCAATATTTATCACCCCCTTTTAATGTGCCCCTGTAACCAATTCTATCCAGGTAATACCCTGTGGTCCATGCCTACAGACCTCAGTTTGTAAATGTATCATTCATGGAGAACTGCATTGAATGCTTTTGCAAAATCCAGATAACCACATCCACAGGCCTTCCCTTATCTAGATGGCAACTCACTTCCTCCTAGAATTGTAACAGATTGGTCTGGCAAGAACGATCTTTCACAAATCCATGCTGATTAGTGCTAATGATACTGCAAATTCGTGGATATAGTCCCTTATCATCCCCTTTAATAGTTTACATACTATCGATGTTAGTCTAACTGGCCTGTAGTTTCCAGGTATATGTCTATGCCTTTTTTTAAATATTAGTACCACGTTGGCTTTTCACCAATCAGCTGGTACCATTCCAGTCAGTAAACCATCCATAAAAATTAGGATTAACAGTCTGGCTATAACCTGGCTAAGTTTATTGAGGACTCTTGGGTGTAAGCCATCAAGCCCGGGTGTTTTTTTTGTGTCAATGTGTTACTAAACCCAGGACCCTGACTTCACTATATCTGGTCTCCCACAGTACACATAACATGGAAGTGCAATTATTTTAGTCAATATAAACTGCTAAATACATTTTCTCATCAGCAGTTAGAGCAGTCTTGTGACTTCTATCAGTGTCCAGTCAAGTACATGTTAAAGCTTGTAGGAGGAGTTTGTATTCTGCTCCAGGAGCATGCAGGACCCCGGAATTCTTTCTGGACAGTGCTGATTGGCCCTGTGCCTATCACATGCACCCTCCCAAAGAAAAAAAAAACCTCTCTAGCAATACACACCACACTGAACATGTGCAGAGTGTCTCCACACGATATGTCTTATC